TGATTGATTGATTGATTGATTGATTGATTGATTGATTGATTGATTGATTGATTGATTGATTGATGACACTCAGAAAGAGCTGTAAATAGTGATGTGTATATTTTGTTCAGTGAGCGATGTTTACCAGGAAGCCCAGTGCTGACCACGCAACCATCCTTTGTGTTCCCTCCGGTTAGATGTTGTCCRGTTTTTATTTGATTTTGTGTAATTTTGGATGCATGACAATGTGACTGGCTGGCGATTATTAAAAGAAAAGCTAAACGGACATAGAATCAGTATTGGACGGCGATGGGCTGAAGATTCAGAACAATTGAAAGTGATGAAACATGAGAGCAAACGCTAAACAGAAAACATATTAACTGGATTTTGCTCCATCCTGCCACAGCCAGTTAAAGGGATAGTCTGGTGATTTGTGAAGTGATAGAAATAGTCAGTATCTTATGAGCGATGACATCATTAATGGAGAAAAGAGAAGCTAACTGGCTAGCTAAACTGGAAACCATTATCATATCTGATCCTCTTATACATTCAGATTGATGTTACCATAATAACACACATTGTTCAGTTGAGGAAACAGCAACAAACCGCTGTGGGAAAGTATAGCACAGTTTGTTAGCTGGGGCCTTCCATTAAGGAGTTAACATGCTCTCCCTCTGTTTGGCATCACTTCAAAAATCACCAGACTTCAAGAGAAATGCAGCAATATCAAACATTTTATTATTATTATTATTATTTTTATTCTTTCACAACTCTTGAAAAGCTTTGAGTCATTATTTGTTGTCGGTTGAAGCTGTAGCAAACCGGAGCGATTGTGAAAGCAGTTAGTCATCGGAGGACATGTGCTCCCCGGGCGTCAGCGACATCGCTCTTCATCTGCCTCATTCACTTCCTCTCCTGGTGCCTGTTGTAGATAATCACTGCCAATAAAAAAACAAAACAAACTCTGTACCTGTGATTGAATAGATCTAATAAATGTTAGAATTGGAAATCACTCTCGTCTGTCTTTTTACACGTTTGTGAGATCAGTTTTCTCTCCCTCCTCCTCCTCCTCCTCCTCCTCCTCGCCCCCACATGCCGTCTCCAGTCCTTTATTTCTGCCTCATTTTCTCCTCTCATCATCTCCCACTTCTTTCCTGTACCTTCCTGCGTGCGCTGCGTTTTGGCGGCRTTGCTCGCTGTGTGTTTCCTGCTCAGATCGTTCAGTGACGTGTGTTTTTCTGCTTGGCTCGCTTGTGTTTTCTGTTTTCTTTTTTTAATTTTTGTTTTAACGAGGCTGCTGTCCTGTGTGCCGCTTCGTTTTTTATTTTATAATTTTTTTTTCCTCATTGTTGACAGGTTGGGTCTGTGTTTTGTCAAACTTTGTGTTTACGTTGCTTGCTGCACGGTGTGCGGAGCTGTGGGCGAGGCTCCTTTTCTTTTATTGCTGCTTCTTCGGTGTTTGTTCCAGTTGGAAAGTTTAAACAGAGAAGGGATGAGTGGATTTGTTTTGTGCTGGAGGTTTTGTTTTCTTGTTAATGTCATTGTCAGAGCCTTGTATGTCTAACATCCAGTTAAGATCAACAGGTTTGGGAAGAATTTTATGAACAATGAATATCTTACCTGTTAAAGATAACTTTTTGAACAACCTCAGTTTGGAGAAAAAGAGGTTAATTTGGAACATATTCACAAGCTAGCAGCTCCTARGAACTGGATTAAAACCAATATTACTTAATTACTCTTAAAATTCACATRCAAACCCCTTCCTTGTGAGGGTCATTAGGGTCTTTTCTGGCACTCCATGCACTCCATACATGTGACCAGAACATCTCTCATGTAAAACAGYCCAACAAAGACCCTCATGAAGGAGAGCAGGGCGAGTAATAATAAATGGAGAATGGTGTTTCTACAGTCACTAAGTGGGAGGTTCTTGTTGTGTGGGAGGGGTTTGAAGAACACTGGGCAGCTGGGGGGACGTGTAGCTCAGTCGAAAAGGCCAGAAAGCACTAATATTTTTTAATATGAATATTAATTTTAGTCATAACTCGAGACAGGAGGGTGTTGGCTACACCAAATCAATTATATTTACATGATCACATTTTTTTATTTTAAACATTCTGTTTTAAACTATAAATAGACAGTTAAATATTTTTATGTAATCTCATTCATTTTACCATTATTAATACTTCATCTTTTAACTTGACCCACAAGTCAAGTCAATCTAACCAATCACAGTTTTGCCAAACTCCACTTATATTTCAAACTCCGCCCACAAAGAGTTATGGAGGACCAAAACTGACATAATTAAAAGTAAAAACAAAAATATATAAATGGGCCAATAAGTAAATAAATACACTTAATAAAATGCACCAAGTAATCTAAAAAAACTTGAAGTCATGTTTTATAATTTATATGACCTTCATATTCACTTTTCCAGCTTAGTTCCAACACACTATATATTTTAGCATCTAATTAAAATTTTACTGTTTTTAAATTTTTATATATAAATGTGCATATATATTGTTTGTCCTTTTACTTGTAGATGTGTTTGTTTCTCTTAAATATTCTTAATAAATTTTTTATTGTCTTTATTTCCATGTGTTGTTTTTACATTTTTCTGATAAGTTGTGTAGCTGCACATGGATTCTGCTCATTATTCACTTTTCCAGCTTAGTTCCAACACACTAT